AAGATGGAGAGGGTGGGAGAAAACTCTCTCTGCACGCTCTTCATGCCCCTTTGAATTGATGTGTTGGGTGTTTATTATATGCCAACCGCATGTGTGGAGTGTACTTCATGGTTGTGGCACACCTTTGATTTGTTTAGCAACCTTGTTCCCCTCGACACAACTCCCGGCCATTGTAGCTGCATTCAGTGCAAATTGCAGGCCAGATACATTTTTTTTTTAATGTCTGGTGTTGTGTCCGGGGGATGAAGATTGGGACATTCCTTACTGCTAATGGCGGTGTCAACGAACAGTCTGTCCGCATAATTTTCTATTTTGAATTTTCTATTTTTTTTTGCTTGGAACTTGGCAATCCAATTTTTTACCAACAGCACGGGGGAGGAGGCTGGGAATCCCTCCACAAACAACCCCCAGTACTGGGACCGTTCCTGGGACCGTTACTGGGACCGTTCCTGGGACCGTTACTGGGACCATTACGGAACCGTTACTGGGACCATTACTGGGACCGTTACTGGGACTGATACTGGGACCATTACCCAGCTTCGGTGCAGGGCTGAGGAATATCTAGGAACAGGAATAGCCAAATCTGGGCTGGTGTGCTGAAACCTCAGACCCTGGGAAAGAAGGAACCGCCACAGGCCAACAAAGCCAAACAAACCAGGCGGCGGGGGAGGACGAAAGGGCAGGGGAGGACGAAAGGGTGGGGGAGGACGGGGGGGGAAAGGGCGCGGAATAACAGAAAAAGAAGATGCTGCAAGCCTAGAAACCCACCCAAAACACATACAAACCAAGACACCAACTTCCCCGTCCTATAGGCCTAACCAACTTACATCCTACTTTGTAACTACCGTCCTCCCCCGAACATAGCGCACCCTAGAAATGAATGTATACAAGCTATATTGCCGGCCAGATACAGCCAAAATAAGGGTGCGTTGTGTTCAGGGGAAGACGGTAGTGTGGGTATCTGATCTATTTCTGGGTCAAGTTTTTTCTTTTTTTTTTTTTCCTTTTTTTTCCCCGGTTTTGAATGTGGGTTATCATTGGGTGAAGGAATATTGTTCTTTATGGCTGTGAAACTGCCTGTTCACCCAAAGCAGAAAAGGGCTCAAAAAAAAAAAAAAGAGAAGAAAAATAACTCTTACCAGGATTCACTCGAAGGTACCTTCCGGGTTGTCACTCGGAGATCTCCCGGGGGGTCACTTAGGGGTCGTGAGCCTGATACAGCGTCTTTTCAAAGTGGCCTGTTCCGTTCGATTCAGGCCTGGGGGGCCGGTAGTGAATGGGTACAGGCCACTTTGAAAAGGGGTACAGGCTACTTTGAAAAGGGGTATATGCCACTTTGAAAAGGCGCAGTATGGGGCTCACAAGCCCTGTCGGAACCCCTGGAGATGTGAGCCTGATACAGCGCCTTTTCAAAGTGGCCTGTCTCGTTCGATTCAGGCCTGGGGGGCCGGTAGTGAACATGTACAGGCCACTTTGAAAAGGCGCAGTATCGGGCTCACAAGCCCTCTCGGAACCCCTGGGGATGTCCGCGTGACCACCCGGAAGATAGCCTTGGGCCTCGCTCCACTACAAAACACTCTACATGCACTTGGACCTTTCCAGTTTTTGTGGCAAAATGAAATTCGTCCAGATGGCGGTTCCCCTTGGATGTATCTGGTCTCAAGCTTAGTCTGAATACATCCAAGGGGTTCAGTGTTTTAAAAACGCCGGACCCTCAGGAGCAGCAAATTTAGACGAGTTTTCGGGCAAAAAAGTTGAAAAAACTCAGTTTCAATTTTGTTCAAAAAATAAAAAATCTTTAAAAATGTCCATTTTGATAAATCGGAGTTTTATATCGCTCGCGGGCCGTGTGCGCCAACCATATGGGATGTATCTGGCTGGCACACGCGCCCGGGGTTGGCCTCCGTGGTAATCGGCGGGCAGTTTTTTTTACCAGGGAAAGGTACTGATGGTTTAATCCAATCCTCTTTGCTGCTGTCTTCCTCCCGAACATCATGCACAGGGTCCCTTGTTAAACCACCAGTACTTGGCCCAACTATCGATTCCAAGCCTGTGACTACCGGTAGGTCGACCCTTGCCAAAGCAAGCGCTACCGGTAGTACTACAATATTTTTTTCTTCACAATTACGAGAAAAAAAAAAAACAAGCAACTTTAAAAAAAAAAAGAAAAAAAGGAGAGACACCAAAATTTTAGAAATAAGGCCAAAGTTCATTTTGCATCCCAATGCACCTGGGGGGAGGAGAGGGATAAAGGGAAGGGGGAGAGAGAGAGAGAGACGGTATATTTGCTGCGTCACTGCGCAGCGAACGTGTTGTTGGGCGCGTCGGTCTCACGCCCAGACTTTGAGTATTTTAGTGTCGGACCTCACGGTCTGTCTCTTATACACATCTAGATGTGTATAAGAGACAGCACCTGGGGGGAGGAGAGGGATAAAGGGAAGGGGGAGAGAGAGAGAGAGACGGTATATTTGCTGCGTCACTGCGCAGCGAACGTGTTGTTGGGCGCGTCGGTCTCACGCCCAGACTTTGAGTATTTTAGTGTCGGACCTCACGGTCGTATCACGCAGGAGTTTTAATTGTTTCAGCAAAATACCACTCTAACCGTGCACGTCAGCTATAACTCTCGCGGCTATTTACGACAGGACAAATACCCCGCGAGGTACAACTTACCTTTACCTAAGGAGTTGTCACTATCCTTAGGAAAGCGTATCTTTGTTGAGCTACTGACCCACATGCGAAGGTTTTTACATGCGATTGCAGAGGTAGGTCAGTCGATGGTGTTTTTTCTCGTTAGCCATAGCGTAGGTATACACGAGGTAGAACACCTTAAGATTGATCCGTTTATATGTTGAGTATCGGGGTGCTGATCCCCGGACCAACTTACAGTTCAGGTTCACTTTTTTTGACTGTCTTCCACGCTAAATCGTTTTAATATCTCATATTAACCTATTAGGGCTATGAAGATTGAATATCATAAATCAATTTCCTTGAAGTAAATTTTAGACCATCGATATGGTCATCGAGTTAGCCTTTCTCTTACGTGGAGTCTCAATCAATCTAGACTCTGTATCAATCGTGATATGTTATAGTATTTCAATCAAAGTATAGTTATATGTACTAGGGGTGCGATGAGAAGTGGACTTAGTTTTTACAATTACGGCGCACCCAGTCTGAATTTCCCAGTCGACACCCCACTTTCAATTGATCATCGCAAACCAATTACGACCCACACTTGCACCCATGCAAGAATCGTATACACACGCACAAATGCAGGCACAGAATACACTACAAGGGTCAACTTTAATCCGTTCATGACTTGTCTGTCACTTTCCCAAAACTTTGAACAGTGTTTCTTCCTACTTTTGACTTTTTTTTGCCCAACCCTTTACTAGATTCAAAGTACACTAAGACTGACCAAGAGCATTTAGGCTTAGACATAGGGAAAATTTTATCCGCCTCTTTTGACTTTGTCTTTAGGCGGGATTGTCACACCATGTGGAAGTTAAGTTGCAAATCCTACCGACCTATTATCCAATAATTGTCATTTCATACAAATTTTTCTGCAACTTTTTTCCAAAAATGACGAAGACATGTAAGGACATCACAATCCAATATAGTTTTAACATTTTTTTCGCACTGTCATCTATAAGGATTCCTCTAAGACAATGCGACTCGAAGGATTGCAACCGCCGGTTTTTGTGAAGGTTATAAGTAACTTATGTCTTATTCTAAATTTTAGTTAGTTTCAAAGTTGTCGCCTCGAAGTTCATGCAATGTCAAGTATAGAAGATAATAGTTTATTCTCCCCTTAACTGATTCAGAAATATTTGGTAATGGTCGCTTGACCTCTTAAACCTTTATGACCCTAATTTTTTATCCATTTCGATTTTTTTTCGCACGGTCCTTTCCTTCCTTTTTTAAATATATAATTGATTAATTTTTGTATATATATCTTTTATTTAAACATGCACAAGCATACATTCACCAATTCCCATATAGAACAGAATCATAAGGTAAATCAATCAAGAGGTTCCAAGATAGTTGAACAAGTCACCCAATACCACTTCATGCTACTCGCACCTCAATAGCATCGGAAAGTGATTTGTCAATAATTAGTGATTATTTGTGCGGACCTTTCTTTCCCTCGACCACCGCTCAAGTCGATCGGCGATAGGGCAGACCTCACAGGACCTCGCTCCTCCTATCATCGCTACTTGGAGCCGGTTGGTAATAGGGCAGACCTCTCGGGGTCTCGCTTTTCTTATCACCAACTAAAATTATTGTAAGGTTGACTGGTAATAAGGCGAACTTTATGGGACCCTGCTTCTTATTACAACCTTCCTTACTCAAGCAAATAAGTAATAGGGTAGACCTCACGGGGTCTCGCTCCTCCTATCACCCTGGTAAATTTCTCTTGAAGAACTTCGCCACCTTACTTCAACTTTCTCTATCTGAAGGAAGAGCATATTCATGTCCTAGATTATTCGGAAGTCCTTAAACCACCAGTCCCCCTGACGTCAGAATCCTCGGGGGTACCGGTAGCGCCGAAGGGTACCGGTAGTACAG